GAAATTATATAGAAAATATATGCAGGTCGTATAAAAGTTATATAGAGGTTAGGTGAGAGCCATATGGAGGTCACGTGAGGGTTATGTAAAGGTCGTATGAAGGTTGTACAAAGCTCATGTGAAAGTTATGTACGTCATATGCAGGTTATATGAGAATTAATCTGGAGGTCAGATGCAGGTTTCATGAAGGTCATGTGAAGAGCATGTGGAGGTTACGTGAGGGTTATGTGAAGGTCGTATGAAGATCCGTCAAAGCTCATGTGAAGGTTATGTAGGTCATATGCAGGTTATATGGGAGTTATGTGGAGGTCATATGCAGGCTTTATGAAGGTCATAAGGAGGTGGGATGAAGTTCATGTGAAGGTCATATGAGGGATTTATGAAGGTCATAGGAAGGTCATGGCAAGTTATATGGGGTATTTAAGGGTCATGAGAAGGTCAGATAGAGGTTACNAGCTATGTGAGGTGAAATGAAAGGCATACAAGGCGCATGTGAAGGTAAAGAATCATTGAAATTATATAGAAAATATATGCAGGTCGTATAAAAGTTATATAGAGGTTAGGTGAGAGCCATATGGAGGTCACGTGAGGGTTATGTAAAGGTCGTATGAAGGTTGTACAAAGCTCATGTGAAAGTTATGTACGTCATATGCAGGTTATATGAGAATTAATCTGGAGGTCAGATGCAGGTTTCATGAAGGTCATGTGAAGAGCATGTGGAGGTTACGTGAGGGTTATGTGAAGGTCGTATGAAGATCCGTCAAAGCTCATGTGAAGGTTATGTAGGTCATATGCAGGTTATATGGGAGTTATGTGGAGGTCATATGCAGGCTTTATGAAGGTCATAAGGAGGTGGGATGAAGTTCATGTGAAGGTCATATGAGGGATTTATGAAGGTCATAGGAAGGTCATGGCAAGTTATATGGGGTATTTAAGGGTCATGAGAAGGTCAGATAGAGGTTACGTGCAGGTCGCATGAAAATTGTACAATGCTCATGTAAAAGTTATGTAGGTCATATGCAGGTTATATGAGCTTCATGTGGAGGTCATATGCAGGCTTTATGGAGGTCATAAGGAGGTGGGATGAAGATCATGTGAAAGTCATATGAGGGCTTTATGAAGGTCATGGAAAGGTTACGGGCAAGTCATGGAGGTTATGTGAGGGTTACGTAAAGTTCATATAGAGGTTACGTGCAGGTCGTATGAAAATTGTACAATGCTCATGTGAAGGTTATGTGAGTTATATACAAGTCATATGGGAGTTATGGGGAGGTTACATGCAGGCTTTATGACGATCATAAGGAGGTGGGATGAAGTTCATGTGAAGGTCATATGAGGGCTCTACGAAGGTCATAGGACCTTCACAGAAAAGTTATATGGGGTATTTAAGGGTCATGAGAAGGCTATGTGAGGTCAAATGAAAGGCATACAAGGCGCATGTGATGGTAAAGAATCATTGACAGTATATAGAAGATATATGCAGGTCGTATAAACGTTATATGGAGGTTAGGTGTGAGTCATATGGAGGTCTCGTAAGGGTTATGAAGAGGTCGTACGAAGACTGTTCAAAGCTCTTGTAGAGGTCATGCAGGTCATTTACAGGTCATATGGGAATTATATGGAGGTGATGCAGATGCAGGCTCCATGAAGGTCACGGAAAGGGCATAAGGAGGTTACGTAAGGGTTATGAGAAGGTCGTATGAAGATTGTATAAAGCTCATTTGAAGGTTATGTACGTCATATGCAGGTTATATGAGAATTATCTGGAGGTCAGATGCAGGCTCTATGAAGGTCACGGAGAGGTCATAAGGAGGTTACGTGAGGGTTATGTGAAAGTCGTGTGAAGATTGTACAAAGCTCATGTGAAGGTTATATACATCATATGCAGGTTATATGGGAGTTATGGGGAGGTTACATCCAGGCTTTATGGAGGTCATAAGGAGGTGGGATGAAGGTCATATGAGGGCTTTATGAAGGTCATATGCAGGAGCCCTACAAGAGCTTTGTACAACCTTCACACGACCTTCACATAAGGGTTACTTACGTGACCTCCATATGACTCTCACCTAACCTCCATATAACTTTTATACGACCTGCATATATCTTCTATATAATGTCAATGATTTTTTACCTTCACATGCGCCTTGTATACCTTTCATTTGACCTTACATACAGGGCCTTTTCATGACCCTTAAATACCCCACATAACTTTTCCGTGACCTTCCTATGACCTTCATAGATCCCTCATATGACCTTCACATGAACTTCATCCTACCTCCTTATGATCGTCATAAAGCCTGTATGTAACCTCCCCATAACTCCCATATAACCTGCATATGACCGATATAACCTTCACATGAGCTTTGTACAATCTTTATACGACCTTCACATAACCCTCACGCAACCTCGTTATAACCTTCACGTCACCTTCATAAAGCCTGCATCTGACATTCATATAATTTCCATATAACCTGGCTATGACCTACACGACCTTCACACAACCTATATGTGTCCTACATACCAACAACACATAACCCTCATATACCCTTCACATAATCCCCATCTGACTTCCGTATAATATCAATTTGACCTCCATTCGAACTTCACATGCATCGCATATAACCATTACATGACTCGTATATTTTATATACAGCGAAGTCATAATTTACCTCAATGTTGAAAAATTATTCATCTTTCAATTATTAATTTATTTATTCATTTATTTTATTATAGAACATCTTCTGAATTTAACCCCCTATTTCTCAATTATACCGAAGCATATAGAGAAAAAAACATAATTTCCGTCAATGTGGGAAAATTGTTCATTTTTCGAGTAATGAGCAAAATTCTATTATTCATTTATTTATTTATTTATTTATTTGATGGCCAACGGCCATGGAAAATGGGCACGAATTCCAAAATACCTATGGCCACGCCATGGCCGTCGGCCATGTCCGATGGCCATGTCCGACGGCCATGGAAATTATTGTACGTGAAAGTCCAATTTCCGCCACATTGTGGTGAAAAATATTGTTCGTAACTCGTGAAAAATTGTTTTTTAGCTCGTGGGATTATATCAATCGCCTTCGGCTCGTGATATAAACCTCCCACTCGCCAAAAAACACTTTTTTGCACTCGTTACGAAATATACTATTTTGAAATACGTGCTTGGAAAAGTCCCTTTTCGTTTACAGATTTTTGTGCGAAAAGTGGCACTTTTCGTCACTTTTAAAGTTGTAAACGAAAAGTACCTTTTCGTTTACGGGATTCACTTTTCGTTTACAACAGCTGACTTTACAGTTACAAGTTTAAGGTTCACTTCTATGTGACCGATTGAAAGATGGCACCAGTCGGTACGTTTTCGACCAATCCAGTGTCGTTATTCCTGTAACTATGTGCACCGCTGAAAACATCGGTTTACTGTCGGACTGAGGAGATTGTAGCCCTGAGTATCAGAGGTGGGAGACAACGATTGTAGTGGGGATTGGGAAAAGTGGGGGTAAATTTGAGGACCACAATCTCCTCAGTTCAACCATACTCGTCTTGGTCAGGTTCTCATCAGGAATCACCGGATCAGTCGCACCTTACAAAAACCTGATCAAGTTCTGATCGTGCTTCAGGTGGGCCTGAAGCAATTTCCACTCGGGAAGATCGAACGAGCTCAATCAATAATTCATCTCCCTCTTTATAGTTTAGATTAATCCCATCCTTTTGTACACTATTTTCTCCTTCAGTGGACATCGTATCCTGTATTTTTCCTGTTTCCCTCGTGTATGTATGATCAGCTGACGCCATGATAAAAGAAGTAGCTTCGTTGTATAAATACAGTTGGCAGCCCGCGGTTTTCCGACAGTTGGGAGTCAAAACTTTTCTTGGCCGATACGCTGCTGCATATCTCAACAATGGGAATCACACCATTCGTAGTTGAGTTACAGCACATTATTTATGCAATTTTTTCCTTCAGAAGTAGATTTTTTTACGGTTATTGAAAAAATTATCAACACTATTGGTCAAATTACACTGTAAAAAATTTGGTATTAAATTGACACTGATGGATGTCCCAATGAGTCCACACCGTTTTCGGTATGGAGTTGCGGTCTTAAAATTACACCCCACCACAGGACATCGCATGTAAAATCTGGTGTTAATTCAACATCAGTCGGTGTTCCAGCAAGTCCACACCAGATTTTTTACTGTGTACGTCTTGATCAGTTGGTTTTAATGTTTTCCCAATCGGATAAAAAATGGTGGCAATAGCATGATTACTCATCGAGTTACACGGTAGCATCATCAGCTTTACGTATCTGACCTCTTCAAAACTTCTAGATCATTCTATTATATTGAATATATATTTGTCCGTGCTTTCGACTCAAATTCGGAAAATCCTGATTAAACCTACGTTAAACACCGACTGAACATCGCTTAAATCGTGTTCAAACCTAGGTTAAACTCCAACTACACTCCGACAAACCCGATTAGAACTGGATAAAGACCGGTTACACATCGACTAAACTGTAATTAAATCCTTATTAAAGGATTCGGGCTTATGGATTATTTACAGTCAAATAGGTAGCTACAATTTGCTACAATTATTTAATACAGTTCTGTTCAACTACTGTGTGTTTCAAATTCTAATTTTACATTTTTTGAGAAACTGGTGAATAACTTTTAACGGTTCAAGGTCTTTTGCCATCAGAAATGCAGGATTCGGGCTTATGAGGGTTTGAAATGAGGCAAAACAACGGAAAATTAGCCAAAAATATTAATGACTGAAACCCATTATGACTTGATCGAATATTTATGCTATTGTCTTGGTTCAAGAGCATATTTCTGCAATATTAAGTTATTTTTCTCTCAGTATGAACATTACTTGAACTTGACCTTCATCTCAAAATCCATTTTTCTGAATTGAACTGAATTATAAGAATAATTTACCCTCAATTTCCATAATTTCCCCTACGAAATCCATGAAATCATCTAACTTTCATTTCGTTTTTCAGAAATCAAGTTTCAACAAATTCGACGCCCTCACTAAAAAAAACATCCTCCACGTTCGTTCCGTGGATGCATCAAAAGTCCATCAGCAATTAAACTCCGTAAGTATGAATATCCCTCATAATCCTCCAAAATTGGGGAAAACTCGATTCTATAATCGCCTTCCATCCTCGCATTACGTCACGGTCTCCTTATACACCCATAAAAAAGTTGCTGTTTTAAACCTGCATCCTGATGGTGTTACCAGGTGGGCCAAAATGGCGATGCGAATCCCAACTGCCGCAGCTGTGACAAGGTCGTATTCCAAATGGAACAGACGAAGGCCGAGGGACTGGTGTGGCACAAAAACTGCTTCCGATGTATACAGTGCAGTAAGCAGCTGAATGTCGACAATTACGAGAGCAACGATTGTATCCTCTACTGTAAAGTGCACTTCAAGGAGCTGTTTCAGCCGAAACCGGTTGAAGAATCAGATCAACCTGGTAAGAATGAATTTAAGGAACCAATCCATTTAAGCTATTATCTTAATGTAAAATTACTCTATTCACCATGCACAACACGGATGACTATAACTCTCATCCAAATAATAATGATCATCATTGTAACAAGTTGAACCGTGGAACAGTTAAGTTGGTCATTGCCTTTCGACCATTCGAACATGATTTGGATGAGCAGGAATTTCATAGACGCTATGGGACTTAACGATAAAAAAATCCAAAGTGTGACAAGGAAATCCTAAAATTGCTGGAGTGAAAAACAGTGGTACCTTGACGATAGGTGGAAAAGTTGGGGGAACTGACAGTCGGACGCACCTTTTCTCAAACCTATTTATCTATTACGCCAAAATTAGTATCAGAAATATTGAAAAAATATGCATTGCATTGATTCGAGACTGGAAAAGATGTAGTAAAACTTTCAGACTGTTTTGATGCCTCATCCAGGGGAAAATTGAAAAACTAATTAACGCATATTATTATGCAAAATATTGGAAAAAAATCTGACTTCATTGAAGTTACAAAATTCTGCACCTTATACAAAGGGAAAAAATACAGAATTTGTTTTGTAAACAAATTGCAACCGTTAGATACCTTGGTTGTTTGAAGTTGCATTAATTCTGAAAAATGTCACAAAAAAGTGATATTAAACGTGATCCAATCCCTCTAGTGATCGACCTTTTTTTGAATACACTGTATGCGGGGAATTCCAATTTACGAGAGCTAGAATGGAATGTAATAGATGAGCAGTCTTAAATGGTCAGAAAAAATCCGATTTTAGAAATTTTCTCAGCAGGCTGTGTAACAGCCCTACTAGTGTGTCAGTGGAATCATGGCGCTCAATTCGGTTGGTGTGATGAAGATATAGGAGAAGAGGAGAAGTGCGCAATACACACGGCACATTTTAAGAAATGCGATAATTGTAGAAAAGTGACTTCAATAAAGGTGTCCGACTGTGCACTACAATGATGTTTATGTCATTAAGCCCGATAAACCGCGATTCTAACCTCGCTTCGCTCGGTTAGATCCCGGTTTTCGGGCCCAATAACATAAAATATTGTATGTCACACGACGATGAAAGCATGATCTGGCGAATGTGATTAAAGCCACATTCGACAGATGATACTTTTATCCCATGATGACAATCTACTATTTTATCACTGACATATAAAAAATTCGGTCCTACGGACTGATTGGGTGCACCTGAGGTAGTATACAGGACCATCCAACTCCCCTGAAAATAGTGAATGCTCCGCAAGCTTCAGTTTATTATCATCACGGCGCCACTGTCACATTCTGCGCATGCGCATGAAATAGGATCGTAAAAGGCACGTGAATCAATTTGACAGGTGGAGAACCAACACGTGGTTACAATCACATATGCAAAATTGTAAATTGAGGAATAAATATACGAAAATAGGCTATAAATAAATGTGGTCGTCCGTATAACAAGGGACTATTTTGCCGATTCTAGTTTACAAGATATACCCGTTTTCATCTTTGCAACACCCATTTAAACCGAAGTTAATTTTTTTTATCTTGTCTAGCAACGTCATTTTTTACCCTATCAAAATTAGTTTGGCCTCAAAATGTGCTAAAGTATACTATTTCATGCAGACGTCCACATATAAAAATCAATGCAACTATGCTGCTGGAACAGAAATCAATTTATTAAAGAGCAATTGTTTTACTAAATTATTATCTCTGCAGATGATTAGGATAGTGATCTCTGGCAGATACTTTATGGCAGAATAAGATCTATCCTGATTGTTTAATCACTCCTCTGCAGAATTGTATATTCATAAATTAATTAATATCGATACATTCAACCCTAATTTCTCTGTGATTTCTTCAGTTTCTTTTGGTATTTTTCAGTGGTTTGTTTACACATGAAATCATATTTCATGTTTCATCATTTTCCACTCAAATGTCGATTGATTGATGTTGCCCATCGATTAAGGAATTCTTCAATCATCAACTTCAATGCTCCTTGATTTAAAGCACTTTTGTGCGCATTGCATAGAATCCAGTCCGCTGCGATTGCCCCCGATACCTTCTTCAACAAAACTCTGCTGATTTTCTGGTGATGGCACGTTGCAGGCGTAATTCGATTCAATTTTTTATGAATCTTGGAGGATGCTTCGTCAAAGAGAGAATTTTTGTTTTTCGCTACCACCGGACGGAAGAATGAAATTTGACATTGAGCACAAGACTTAGCAGGTTCTCCTGCTAATAATTTTCGGGATACAAGATCACAAATAGGTGTCAGGGAAGGATCTTCAATAGTTTTATTAGGATCATCAGAGTTAGAATTACCTGGAAGAACGTTCTCTAGCTCAGGATCGATGTCAATCTCCAGCAAGTCTTCATTCCCATCCATGAGCAAATCCTCCAATGTGAATAATGCTTCACCATCACAAATATCTTCGCAATTTGTGTGGAAAGATTTTTTATCACTCATCTCTGAAACTAAGATAGATTTGTGGATTCCCCCAAATTGCCAGCAAGTAGGACTAATATTTCGTTCCCCATGAGAACGATACTGCCCGAATCGATTTTCCATGCAATCTTGATTAAGTAGCCTCGGCGTAAGCTCGTTAAATCCTTTCGATTGCAGAAGTTCCCATATCTTTTCGTACCCCTTGAGTGTTTTGATCCAGTTTCCAAGAGTTGGTGGTTGAGGTTTGCTGGCCTTCAAAGAAGTAGAATCAACGAAGCGGATTTTGCTGATATCTTCCTTTGCCTTCTTCCAAAACACGTGGTGAGGACTATCATGGGTCACTACACTGCGTAGAGGAGTGGGGGAGGAGGAGGATGAGAGATGACTATTGACCGAATCAAACAGGTCATTAGCAAAATATAAGAATTTAGCTGTTTCTTGTCCTAACTTCTTGGGAATTTCCATAGTCCCAGAATGAGTGTTCATAGGACCTGTAAGGATGATAACACCAAAATTGATTCAATCCGTCTATTTCAGAGATATTGTGTTGTCTATTTATTACATCGACGGAAGCAGGGAGTGAAATAGACCGTTTTAAATCAGTGGCTTGTGACAAAAGGGTATGCCTCGAATAAATATTGAATTTAAATGAATAATTGAATGCCGGTCATTTTGAATCTTACAAACACCTTGATAGTAAAAGAAAAAACGAAAAGTTAGAGTCTGACATCCTTGAGTTATTGACAATTGAAGCCAGTCCATTTTACCTCCCTCTCCCCTAACATAATAAACTTTCTATTTTTACCAGAGTAAAGAATGAATTTTTGTTTGGAAGAGATACAAACATTCTCAAATATCATAATTGATAATACTTTGTCGATTCAAGAATCACAATATTAGTTTCTATTCTTTCCATGAATTCATGAAAGTTAAATTAACAAAAGTTTGGCTTCAGGACAGACTTGTAAATGAGTGCAAAACTCTCTGCCAGCTTGATGAATTCCTTCCAGGCTTCATAAGCTGTCCATTTAAAATTAACGAAATGAAAAACACTACATAAGAATCTCAAGTGCAATAATAAAAAAAAAAAGAATCACAAGTACACCCAGAGAAATGGATTACTCGAATCAAGTAAATGATCCAAATAAACCCTTTGTTTGAATCAAATAAATAATTTTATTCATATTAAGAAAGATTCATTTATTTGAATGAGATGAACGTTTTCTTGAATTTAATAAAAATTTATTTAATACAGGTAACTTACAGACATGAGTTGGATGAGTTAAAAGGGTCAGATGCGTTGAATAGGTCGAATGAGTCAGAGGGGTGAAATGAGTCCAATGGCGCGAATGAGTTCGATGAGTCAAGAGTCCGAAGGGTCAGATGAGTCTGAAGGGTCTGAGTTAGATAAGTGTGATGGCTCAAATGGGTTTGATGAGTCAAATGAGCCCGATGGGCCAAATGAAAAAAAAAATTAAACGAAGAGTTTCATTTCATTCAAACAAGTCATTTTTCTGGTTGTACACCTGGTCCTTTGTCGGACAAGCTTTGGAGTCCCATAACTCTGAGTGAGCTTCCAAGAGTTGAATCAATTTCATTGTCTTTGAAACCATTTTCAAATGAATATTATTTTCGTTAAATTATTGAATAACTACGAAATTTTTAATAAAACTTCGACTTTCGTTTGTTTTGTGAATGTCGTATCCTAGACATCGGAAAGAATTTTGCGAAACATTTTCCCCGAACGCTATCTATCGGTCCTCGGCGACGGTTTGTTGCATTGAAGAATTCATAAACGTCAAATATCTCAGTGACACCAGGTTATTATTAAAAATACGCAAAGTACAATAATTGAGGTAAATTGACAAACGCATTGTTTATAGAACATACATCTGACTGTGAAAATTAACTTTTTGGTGACGCTGAAAGTTCAATTGATTCTATTAATTCATATGCTAGAGTGGAAAAGGAAGTGACGAAAAGAAGCTACTTGATGCCCATGCTGGATTAACGTTGAAAATACTATTTTGATAATAGATATTAATCAAAAAAGATTGCTCGCAAGGCTTGTGGAGAGTTATCCGGAACTTTGGCAAAATGGCGTGGCGAGATACAGTAGACAAAATAAAAGAATAAAAGAAAAGTACCCATGCAGAACTACCAAACGTATACATAATTAATTCGATATATCTCATTTTACCTTCCAAAAACAACTTCGCAGAGGAAATTCACTACCTCTCTTAGATTTGGAGGTAGTCACTCTGTAGTAAATTGGTAAACTAGGATAAGTGCATTTCGCTTGGAGCCAATAATATGTAAAAATCGTGCAAATGAACAGAGATAGCGAAACTTTTATGAAGATTTTTTTTGTGGCTCACATTTCCACATATTAAAAATTGATTTTGCGCTATGACGAACGTTTAAGCACATACACGATGTTCAAGGATCTTAGAGATCAACAGCTGGAAGGACGGGATGACCCGAATATTGATTTTGAATTGGAGAATGAAATGATGTTCATGTTAGCGGTTGAGCCTAATGCTGAAGA